GGAGGGTTCACATTATACACAAGAAATTGAGAACATATAATAGCATATGGGATTGAGTTATTAAGGTGAGATCATGAAGACCCCAACAAAAATGAAATATTTGTATTTGGTTGAAAAAAGCATTGACTAAAGATCGCCTTCCAGTCTTAGCTCAATGACAAAAGACTAATTATTGCTTGTCCAATTCTACTGTACATTGGAACATTATTGCTTTTAGTACGGTTGGATGACCAAATTAAGATTCTAAGCATGGTAAATTATGCCAAATAATTGGAATGCAAGAGGTGTGGTTAAAGATTGGAACTAGAGCGCGTGAGAAACCAAAGACAACAAATCAAGCGATGAGAGAATTTCCGGAACTCAGAAACTGGACATATGCACCGATGACTAAAATTAACGTAATAATTGGAGGTTATTTCCAGATTAATAAATACAAAAAAGAACTTGCGTGGGCTTGATTTTCCTACAGTTTTCAAGAGGATACGTAAGGCAAATTAAATTAAAATTTTCAATTTTAATTTAATTCACAGCCCCAAAATAAAAAATTATAATTTCTATATAGAGATAGCAAAATTTTAAATTATTTAATGTAAAATAGTTCTAAATTTAAATAGAATTTTGTTTAATAATTTATTTAGTTAATAAAATTTAAACATTTTAAAATTATTATTTATTCATGAATTCGGAATCAAAATTTTATTTTTTTTTAAAAAATTTGCATAATGCCAGAACCGAATCGGAACCATAATTTGAACTGTCAGTTCGCCGAAACCGTGTTGAACCATGCCGGAATCGGAACCGGAGGTTCAAGGGTCGGTTCTAGTTCAAAATTTTAAACATCTCGAGTCGGCGGTTCATTGAACCGGCCATGCCTAATTACAGGACTCAGGGACCTTATGCTTACCTAAGCCCTAGTGCCAGTCTGGCCCATGGTTTCGGATCGTGACAGTAATACTCTTGTATAATTGTTACTATTGAACTTCTGATTTGTAAATATTTCTCTAACAGGATTATGAGGCTAGGAGTTATATCAATCAGAGTAGTGTTGAGCCTTCATTACTTTTTTAGTGAAATGAATTATAATTTTTTTTCCTTCAATATAATATATTTGTTCTTTCTATGGGAGTGATTATGTACACAATTTAATGAAGTTTTCAAATTATCTTCATCTGGAAGCAAAAGAGTGTACTCCCATCATGAGTAAATCAATGGACTCATCATCAATACATCGATGGACCCATAAGAGTAAATCTAGACACTATTTACATAACTTGTCTAAATCAAAAATCTATTCATTTTCCTCATATTGAATAGTATATGTTCAATGTGAAGTAGCATGAAACAACTTTAAATCTCTACTATCAAATGAATCAAATTTACACCTTTAAATGTGCAAACCTTTGAATTGTAAAATCCACTTTTATGCTAATATCAAATTTGGGTGTGGCTGAGTTGATTATTAGTAATTGATATTTTAATTTATATTGACAATAGAATGATTATCTCTTGTAATATTTATTGTTGGAAACCCCTTAGTGACTGATTCTATTTTTAAATAGAATTAGGTGGAAGTCCGTGCATTGTGCGGGTTTGTTTTTTTACTTTATTATTTTACATTCTAATAGAAATTACTTTTTTGTTGTACATATAAAAATAGAGAAATGAAGGAGTATATATTATAATAATATAATAATATATATATATAATAGTATATAATATATAAAAATAGGCGTAATACAAAAGTTCGTCCAGACATAATATAGTAAATTATTTTTGTAAATTATAAATTTAAAAAACATACAAAAAAATTCCATCTATAAAGATGATAATAATAAATATATAATTATTATAAATAAATGGATACAAAAAACTAAACAATTCAGTTTAAAACTAAAAAAATTTAAAAATTTAAATATAAATATAGTTAATTAAATTAAAAAGTATTTTAAGTGATCTAATGAAAAAATAAAATTCAAACCTGAAATATAGATATAGATAATTATTGTTAATGAAAATTAATTTTGAAAATATGATTCTTTAGATATAATTTTTTAATATTTGGATAACAAAATTAAAATCTAAATGATAAAAATATTATTTTAATTATAAATGATAAGGTATTTATTATTGAATATATTAGTTTTAATTTTATCAATTCTTTGTATTTTAAAATGTATTATGAGATTCATATGCTACAAAAAAAAAATATTAGATAATAGCTGCAATAGTACAGAATTCCTCTTTGATCTAAATAGCAAAATAAAATAATGAGTAAAAATAATAATAAAAAATATATATTTAATTCTCTCCTAATTATTAAATTCAGTTTAGTGAAACTCTTGCAAAAACACAAAATAACTCAAAACATAAGCAAATACCTTGAAAAATGTAGCAAATATGACAAAAGAAAAATAATTATATAGATATATAAATTGCAATGAATAATAATTAAAATAATAAAATATATACATAATATTGTTGTTGAAGCATAAATAAAAAAAATTACATTATACAATGCTTAAAAATAATAATACAGTTAAAAAAATACTAAAATGATCATATTTAGCTTCTTCCGTTCATTTCCTAATCAAAACATGATAATTTCTCATACCTCACTAACATATACTAATAATGATTAGATAACAAAGAAATATTGATTAAATATATAAAGATAAGATAAAAAAAAAATCAGAAAAAAGAAAAAAGAAAACAAGAACCAAAGAATTGAAATTTACTTAAGTAAAAGAAGAAAAGATAATCGATAAAAATAAATAAAGAAACACAAATCAAAACACAGTGAACGAAATTAAAAAAATGAAGAAAATACGATGAAAAGAAAATAACTGGCATGGTATATGAATATATATAGTATATATATAATATATATATATAAAATAAGTAATAAAATTAACTAAAAAGAAAAAAATTAAAGTATCAAAGCATTTAATTGCAAAATTCGAAAAAAATTCAGAAGTTTTTTCAAATTGAAATTCACAAAATTTAAAGAATTAAATATTAAAATTTTAGATTAAGGTATAATATAGATTAGATAAGGAAAAGAAAGTTTAAAACATTAAAAATTAAAAATTTAAAAAGAAAAAAGAAAATACTCAAAGAGAGAAAGCGAAATTTGAAATTTTTTTTGTCTAATAGTACTACAACTCTTCTTCCATATCTTCAAAAATAAATTTAACATGGATTTGGTTAAATTTAACGTCTTAATATTATCCTCTCAAAGATTAAAATTTTAGTTATGGTATACAATTCAAAAACTTTAAATTTATTATAGTAAAATTATAAAATAGATGATTAAAAATTTATTAATAAATTAAAAATTTATAAAAAAAGAAAAAAAATGTTGGAAGGGGAGAGTGCAAAATATATATAAAAAAATGTTGCTCAACATAATGTAACATTGAAATACCCCAAATTTTTATTGGTCGTGACAAACATTTATTATCATTATTATTATTATTATTATTATTATTATTATTGTGATGGTTTCACAATTACTTGAACGATGAGATTAAGCTTCACAGATTAGATTAAATAAATTGACTTAAAATTGAACAATCGACATCTCGCCGCTCGACTTTCTTTTAATATTTTAATAATTTTGATGATACTATTGATGAGCAATTGTCAATATATCTAACTTTTTATAAATTTAGTAGTAGAATTTTTATATAATTCAAAAAATTTATAATCATGAAAAAAAATACTATTTCTTTATTTATTAGTAGTAGAATTTTTATAAATTTATAATTTATTTCTTATATGATGTAATTAATTTGTACAAAAATAAAAGTATTAATATATGGCATACAATTTATAAATTTTTATTAGTATTGGAGAATGTTAAAGAAACCATCAAAACTAATTAATAGGTTTGAATATTACAATAATTAGTGATTTTCTTTTTTTTTTAATTTAAGGGGATTGAATATTGATCTTTAGACTATTGTCTTAAGAATTTATGCATAAAATTAAATTTTATTAAATATATTTATAATCCATTTATCTATTCAAAATTTAATACGACACTTTAATTTTATAGTCATATATTTTGAATTTATTCAAATGAAATAAAATAAACAATAGAAAATGTGAAATATTAAATTCATGTGAAAATATAATTTTTAATTATAAATTATAAAAGCAAATATTTTTTGTCAAATATTTTAATTTAATTTAGCATATTAAAGATTTTTCTGCTCTATTAAAATTTTTTGTCATAAAACATGTAAACTTTTCATTCAAATACCTTATCTTCTGTCTTCCGCAAGACATCTATTCTTTGTCCCTCACTCCCTTCTCCTCTCCTTAAATGAGACCAAATTCCTTCTCGCCATTATAAAATTTGTCCCAAAAACTCTATCCAAGATTGGGTCTTTCGCTTGAATTTCATATATTATCCAAGATGATCTCAACAACCACCAGATGCCTTACTAATTTTCGGCTTCATCGGCTAATGGGTATTTTTGATTCCGTTTCTTATAGTACTTCTACCAGTACACACGCGACAAGTAAAAGCAAATCTTATTCATTCGATAACATTGATGATGCTTTGGCTTCCTTCCATTTGATGCTTCATAGTAATCCCTCACCGCCTGTTATGGAATTTAATAAATTATTGCACTTTTCAATGAAACGTTATGAGACTGTAATTTTCTCTTATGCAAACAGAATGGAATGTCTAGAGATTCTCTCGATAGTATCTATAGTATTTGACTAATGACTTTGCCCATCGTGAGACCAGCGTGGATTTGGTTCTCTCTAATTGGAAAATCTTCAAACTTGCTATCAAGCCTGAACATAGTAACGCTACAACGTAATCCATAGGGCTTTTGTAGAAGAGGATAGATTGTGATAAGCTGGTGGACTATTTGATCAATGGTTTGCAAAAAGGCTATCAACCTGAGTTCCTATACTATACTGTCATATGTGAAAAACTGGTCTGTGTAAAATTGGAAAAACCAAATGTGGCACTTTGGTATGGCCTTTGGTATTCTGAAAAGAATGGTCAAGGATGGTTGTGAACCTAATGTGGTGTCATATAATGCTCATTGACAGCCTTTGTAAGGATAGATTGGTTACTGAGGCATTAGAGCTCTTCTTGAAAATGAAGAGTGAAGGCATTTCTCCTAGCATTGTGACTTACAGCTCTTTAATCAATGGTCTGTGTATGTCAAGCCGATTGAAGGAAGCCTTTTTGCTGCTTAACAAAATGCTGAAAGCCAACATCATGCCAGATCTAATTACATTCAATATAGTGGTCGATGGTCTTTGTAAGTGTGGAAGGGTCTCAAAGGCTTGTGGTATTGTCAAATTTATGATTCAGAGAGGAATAAAGCCTGATGTTGTGACTTGCAATTCTTTAATCAATGGTCTGTGCAATTCAGGCCGATGGGAAGAAGCTTCCATGCAGCTCAATGAAATGTTGGAAGCAAACATCACTCCAAACTTAATTACCTTCACTATATTGGTTGATGGACTTTGTAAGGAAGGAAGGGTTGCAAAGGCTCATGAAAATATGGATGATTCAAAGAGAAAAGCGAAGTTGTGACTACAATTCTTTAACTATGTCGTGCTACAGGCCGATGGAAGAACTTCATGCAGCTCGAGATGAAATGTTGAAGCGACATCCAACCACAGTTAATAACCTCAACATATTGGTCGATGGACTTGTAAGGAAAGGAAGGGTTGCAAAAGCTCATGGTATAGTCAAGGATGATTCAAAGAAGGAATAAGCCTGAATTGTGACTTACAACTCTTTGATGAAATTGAATTGTCTGCTCAAACAAAATGGATCAAGCTAGAGAAAATTTTTGACAAATGATGCTAATCAAGGGTGTACAACGCTGATGTTGTGATTGACTGTTACTGTAGGAGAAAAAGGATGGATGAGGCAATGAGGCTTCTTGATGAAATGCCTCGCAAAGGATTGATTCCTAACCATGTCACTTATAATTCTCTTATACATGGCTTGTGTAAAGCAAAGGGCCCTCAGGCTGCACATAAGTTTTTGAAGAACTTGTGTGTTAGTGGCTATTCTCCAGATGTGGTAACTTACTCAATTTTGATAGATGGCTTTTGTAAGCATAGGTGTTCAGATGTGGCGTTGTCCCTATTTCATGAAATGCAGAAAAACTCATTGAAGGGTAATATAATTGTCTATAATGCTCTAATTGATGGTATGTTTAAAGCTGGAAAGCTCAAAGATGCAAAGGAACTGTTTTCTAGACTTTCCATAGAAGGGTTGCACCCTGACGTTTACACATACAATACAATGATCAATGGACTTTGTAAAGAAGGATTATCATGATGCCACGACCATGGAGTTGGTAATAAATTTAGTTTTGAACAAGCCTGATGATCCACTCGTGCAAAAGGTGCTAAGTTACTCTAAACGTTCTCAAGGTGTAAACTTGAAGTGAGATTTTAGGATAGAACAATTGTTATACCGTTGCAGGAGGTCTTGTCATATTTTTATTATGCCAGTTCAATTTGAATCAAAAAAGAGTTCTGTTTTCTGCAATTCAATTTGTATGCATTATTATCTATTTACATTTGCCTCAAGTTTGAATTCTGGAAAGTTGAAAAGTTATAATTACTGAGGCTTGATGGATCCATCAAACTATTTGTTTTTGCATTTTAAAATTTTGATTTTGAAAGCTGGTTTGTGATTGAATTCAGAAAAGCTAAACTGGAGATTGGTTAGTCTCTCTCCTAAATAAACTTATTACATGGGATGTAGTTTATATTGCTGTTGTGTTTGATTACTCTGTAATTCAATTTGAGACCTTCAGTTACAGTAATCACTAAGTGGTTGTTTGTGTCCATAGAATTTTTAAATTTGGACTCTAAATTTTTGGATTTTAAATTTCATATATTGTGAATCCATAGAATTTTCAACCTTTGCTTAGAAAAACAAAATTCAAGTATTTGAAAGATATTTTAGAATAAAATAAAATGATTTAAATTCAATTAATAACTTATATTTTATTTTTCATAATATTTATAGTTACGTAAGATTGCTATAAAAATTCAGCTAACACGATTGTTAAAACGGATAATATGCACTCTATATATGACACTAGTCGTCAAACCGTGCTTCGAGCGCTGATATTAAAATATTATTTGAATAATTATTTTTATTAAATTGTACTACCATTTCTCTTTAAAAAGAAATTGTACTGCCATTTCGAAAATTTTTTTATTTATAATTTAATATTGAAACTAAGAATATAATAATTTTTGAAAATATTTCAAAAACTCATAATTTTGAAAATATTTTTGATTTATAATTTATACATTTTTCTACAACCAAGTCCTCTCCATTTCAATCCAAAAACAATTTCCTGTAATATATATGCGCAAAACTGATTCTAAAAAATCTCAAAAGGACGATTTTAAATAGCCAAGAGACGTTATAACAAAGGAGAATAAGACCATACCAGCTATTTTTCACGCTCCCAAATATTAATAATTAATTAACAATAGCTCTAAGAGAATAACTAATGCTTCATTTTTTCAATCCATTCCCAGAATTTAATTCATCCATCGGATTTCTTAGCATGCTAAAAACAAAAAAGCTGTAATCAATCACATTAAAGGGGAAACATGAATAGATTCAATAGTCAATAACAAAAAGTCTTGTATTTCCTCCACCTCTTGATGATCATTTGGCTCCATAAATGAAAGGCCTGCTATGAGAATGACCAGGAGGCATAACCAATGAGTGTCTCTCTATTCCTCTATAATCTATTTTCTGAATCTGCAAGTTCCATTCATCCTATACCCAAAAAAAAAAAAGCTAATTATTAATTATGTATTTTGATATTTTATAATCATAACTAATAAAATCAAGAACATGTTTGTCATTTCAAGAACTATAGAATTGCTGATTACAATTCTAGAAAGAAAAAACAATACAGATACAAAACCTCTTGAAATGTAACGTAGGAAAAAGAGGAGAAATAAGAGAAAAAAGGAGGTGATGCTACACTTGAGCTCCATGGAATGTTTATATTCATCTGAAAACATTGAGATATAGAACAGAACCAACACAATTTTAAGGAGGAGGAGATCAACTTGTCTAAACTGCAGAAATAAACTCATAAATATTAACAATATTACCAAATTCAGTCTAAATCACTGATCAATCAATAACAACCGATAATTGAATAAAACATCTTTTTCTTATCAAGCCTGAGCATGAAAAAGTGGCTCTTACCCGAACTCAGCTCGTGAAGTGCGCTCAAATGGGGACGAAAATGAGAAAGGGCTTACGAATTGCTTCCTGGAGAGGAGGCGATTGTCATAAACTTTTCCTTGTATGTATGGTTGGCGCAAGAGAAATTTGTTAAAATCTTACCTGATACTTCTTTAGGCATAGAGTGGATAAGTAGAAACAACAACAGCTTAAGGAGAGAGAATAATGTAGATGCATAACGGAATCACCGATCAAAATCAGATTTGGATATAAAAAGTTAAAATAAAATCATCAATCGAGGATAATTGTTGGTTAGATGGCTTAGAATCCCACGTTGGAAATTTAGAAAGGGAATAGGAAGTCCTTTGCCTGTAAAAAGAGCCTACCTCCTTAAGTTTTTATCATCCCAACTTCTTTCAATATCTAGTTGGTTAGACAAGTTTCTCTCCTTTCTCAATTTATATATTTCTTCAGTGAAATATAAATTTGGTAGTGTCCGAGTACGTAGGTAAAATTGACTGAACATCATTAAAATTCTAGTGTTCTCTCTTATTTATTTCTTTGTCTTTATTTATTTAATAGTTGTTGTTGGGCAAAATATTTTTTGTGGTTATTGTATGAATAATTGCATGTCTAGGTAAATTCTGTCAAATGACACGAATTTAGTCTAAGGCAAGTAGATTTTAAGTGAGATCGCTTTTGACTCCTCCACTTATCTGGAAATTTACCTGGCATATCGCTTTTGACTCCGTCCACTTATCTGGAAATTTACCCTTGCATATTTACTCAGTGCAGTAAGTATTTCACTGTATTGAGTTATCAGAGCCCAATTTTCCACAACAATATAATTAAAAACAAAAGAACTACATGGGCTTTTGTTTTCTCTAATTTTCAAAGAGGATACGTAGGAATTAAATTAAAATTTTTCAATTTTAATTTTAATTCAAGCCCAAAATTTAAAAAAATTTATAATTTTCTATATTTAGTGAGTTAGCAAAAAAATTGTAAATTTATATAATAATTAGTTCTAAGTTTAAATAGAAGTTTTGTTTTAAAAATTTTATAATAATTTTATTTAGTTAATTAAATTTAAAAACAAAAAATTTTTTTTTTTAAATTTAAAATTTTATTTTATTCATTGAATTTCGGAATCAAAATTTTATTATTTTTTTAAAAACATTTGCGTATATCGAACCGAATTTGAACTGGGGGTTCGCCGAATCGTGCTTGGAACCGTGCCAGAACCGGAGGGTTCAAGGTCAGTTCCGGTTTTAAAATTTTTAAACATCTCGACCGCGTGGTCAACGAACCTAGTTTTATAATGCCGTTAGGATTTTTTTTTTTTTTTTAAGTACAGGGCAATGTTACTGAACTTTTGCCGAGACCAATTATACACTAAGTTCATTTTGTTTCATCATTCTTTGTGCCTCTCCCATGCTGGCAGGACTTAAGCTGGGATTACAAATTGCAAAAGGAGCGTTGATTGAATTTACAAAGGCCGACATGGAAAAAACCTTTGTCCAGCTTTGGCTCTTAAGTACAGGAAAGTTTCCTTTATTTAGTTAATAAAATTTAAACATTTTAAAATTATTATTTATTCATGAATTCGGAATCAAAATTTTATTATTTTTTTAAAAATTTGCGTAATATCGGAACCGTAATTTGAACTGGGGGTTCGCCGGAATCGTGTTGAACCGTGCCAGAACCGGAGGTTCAAGAGTCAGTTCCGGTTTAAAATTTTAAACATCTCGAACCGGTGGTTCAACGAACCTAGTTTATAATGCCGTAGGATTTTTTTTTTTTTTAAGTACAGGGGCAAATGTACTTGAACTTTGCCGAAGACCAATTATACACTAAGTTCATTTTGTTTCATCATTCTTGTGCCTCTCCATGCTGGCAGATTGAAGTGTGGATACAATTGCCAAAAGGAGCGTTGATTGAACTTACAAAGGCCGACATGGAAAAACCTTGTCCAGCTTGGCTCTTAGTACTAGGAAAGTTTCCTTCCATTTCACAACGACTTTCCCTCTTCTACCTAAACTAGAGTTTTACTTATAAAAAAACTTCATATCCTTTTTCTCCCTCTCTGTGTCAATGACTTGAGTGCAATAAAAATTATTTTGGGCTTCTTCTTCGTGAATTTTTAGAGGAAGATATTTTTCTTTGACAACTTTGCCATCGTCATATCTTCCATAGCTTTTATTTTGTAGATTTCGGTTCTCGAAGATGTTCTTGGAGAGTACTCTTACTTTGCTGTTCTGTTTTGTTCTTTTTCCTCTATAATTCCCCACTTGCATATAGAGATTTCCTCTGTTCTTGATCTCTTGACTTGAACTCTACAATTTTTTCTTTTCTTTCATATTTTTGCCACTCAAAGCTAAAATTTTCTGCAGAAAATCCAATTTTCATTCTTAACAACAAATGCACAATCTTTTCAATTTTCCTTCGATGACAAAAGTATATCTTTCTTTAGTTGAATCTCTTTCCTTATTACAATCAACAACTTCCAACTTATAATCCACCCTTCCAAGAAAATCGTGTTTTTCTTGCTACTGTTTTTCTTTGAAACCCTTACGGTTTATCAAGTTGTAATTTTTCTGCTTTCTCAATTTTTCTTCAATAAAAAAATAGGGTCTCTTCCTCAATTGATAAAACTAAAACAATCATTAAAATAAAATATTATACGACAAAGCTATAGAAAAACCCAGTTCAAGAACCCAAAATCTGAAATTAAACAGTGTTGTATGGACATTCTCTCAGCCGGTGAACCTTCTCTCCCGAATGTGCGTTTGGATATTCAGTCGAGTCATGTGACCTCCCACGTGCGCACCGCCTCACCTTGAACTCATATATGCAGAAATGATTATACAAGAAAGCATCCACAGCAAAATCAAGGCATCACTCAACGAATCAGGCTCGTTTGATGGAAGGTAACGATGGAGCTGGGACCTGAGATCGGTGGTGGTGTTGGTTGTGGAAAATAATGCGCAAGTTGTCCTTTTTATCTTTTACTTAGCTTTTTTATTTTCTTTTAAATTGTTGATCTTGAAATTAAAATGGATTTCACTTTCACTTACTTATCCTGCTCAGCAGGTTTGTAATTCACGTGTAAATCGGAGAAGTGCTTAATTGGTAAAAAAAAAATAAATAAATAACTTGAGGTGTACAAATGGTCCCATTCAAAGTTACAGATGCAATAAGATTATTTTTAAAAGTTCCGGGGGGCAATCTATATATTCAGCTTATAATCAATTTAATTAGTTTTTAAAAATAAATTAACTGATTAAGAAAGCAGACGTGGGTGTGTGTTGATTGAGATATCTTCGTTAATACAGAAATATCATATTTTGTGTAGTAGCATATATATATATATATATACCATTTAACTTCCAGACCATATTTTTCTTATTGTCCAAGTTGAGGGTTGGAAGGTAAAATATAATTAGTTTTTCATCTATTCCTTTTAAAATTTCTCAAAGTAAGATTAATTAATCTTTCATTAACCTACTATTCACATTTCATTACATAATTTTCTCATTATTATTAACCTTTTATTTTATCCTCTTAGAACTCACATGCAATGAGAGAAGAAATGAAGATAAGAGAAAACAAAAGGAGAGAAAAATTTTTTGATAAGATTAGGGTTATGTTCGATAAAATTAAATGTTAGCTATTTTACTAATATTTCATTAAATAGTAGAGGTTGTAACATTTTATAATTCATTCATTTAAACACTAAATATTAGTATAAACACTAGACACCAGAACTTATAAATAATAAAAGTAGTATTCTGACTTTAGTTAATTAAAACGTTAAACTCTATCTGGAAAGTTGTTGCCGAATATTCAGCAAAGGAGTTAGGAATTAAACTTAGGAGGCTAAAAGAAATTTCAAGAGTTAAGAAAGGAGAAATTAAAAAAATTTACTATTTTAAAGAATAAAATAAAACAATTTCAAAATTTTATGGGCTGATTCTCTTTAAAAAAATTTTGGTTAGGGGCGCGTGTATCTGCTTTTATCCTCTACTATGGTAACCATGTATCTAGCTCCATTCGAAGAAGTTATAATATATATGGTCCCCATAAATCCATGTGAACTAAATCAAAGGAATTATCAGCACGACTTGTGCTAGGGTAAAAAGGTTGTGTTTGTTGTTTGGACAAGGGACATACAAAGCAATCAAATGATTTTGCATCATAACCGGGTAAATGAGGTACATGTTTAAGTTTCTGTTCAGAAAGGTATTTCAATCTAATATGCCATAACAAACTGACATGATTCTTGTGGTTCTGACAGGTATTATTTGCTAAGTTTGCAATATTTGAAGAGAAGCATGCATTATTTGTTACATTTCTAAGAAAAGAGGTAGAATTTAGATGGTATAGGTTGCTTTCAACTTTTCCAATGGCAATGACAACATCAGTCTGCAAATCCTGCAAGATGCAATGATTAGGTAAGGTTTTAGCTGATATCTTATTGACTTTGGCTAGTGAATTCACTAAAATCAAGTTACATGTAAAGCATGGGATATTAGGACATTGTTTAGTTTCGGTGAGGCATGTAGTTGTATGCTACCAATGTGAGTGACATACTTGAAAGTGCCATCTGGCAGTTTTACTGGTCTGGGTTTATGTAATTTATATATTGTGTCAAAGTAGTGAATGTTGGGTGTCATGTGATCGGTGGCTCCTGTGTCAACCATGCAATTTCCTTTATCATTATTCATCATGCAATTAGAATGTTTATTGTTTAAAATACCTACAAAGCTTATATTGACCATAGAAGTATCACGATTGTGTTTATCCTCTTGAATGCCTTTCCCTTTAATTGCCTTCATCACCTCCTGCTGAATCAACTTAGTTATGTTGTCATTGAGATTATTGTATGTGTCTTGGGGAAAACTTGTGTCTGTTATTGGTGTTTCTACAGTTGTTGAACTCATGCTAGCATTACGTCACGGACAAATTCCGTGACCGTGTTAGGCCGCATGTGAAGAGCGTACTTAGCTGCGTTTCAACCTGCGTGGATTGGGGCGGCTTAGCGGATTAGGCGTTGTTATGCCCTAGTGGTCCTTACCCCATGCAAAGCCTGCATGCAGGCGGGGTATTGTGCCACAGGGACAACTGGTCGAGAGCTGGGCCGCTCTCCTGATGAGCCCATGGCAGGTCGAAACCAGTGTGGTACGGTATGGCAAGGCTTGCCTTGGAGTCAAGCGGGAGGGCTCCCGGGGCGCCGCACGGGCGCAGTGTTGCGCGAGACTCTAGGCCCGTGACAATTAGCTCTTGCATTCTTGTGTTTCTTTTTGTATATATATGGATGATCCGATCCGCAAGGACCATGATTTGGAATTATTTGAGTTCATAAAACCACTCAAGATACCCATGCAATTTAAAGCAACTCTCCTTTGAATGACCCCCTACTCTGCAGTAGTCATAAAACCTTTCTTCTCTCTTCTTATTGAATGACTTTCACATCTTTCTTATATGTTCTTTGAATTTACTTTATTGAAATGCTGCTCTAGAAGGTTTTTGTACATTGAATAAGCACGACTCACACTAGGTAGTGGCTCCATAATCAGGATTTGATTCTTCACATTATCATAACTTTAATTTAACCCCATTAAGAACTGAATTAGTCTGTCTTCATTTTCTACTTCTGCCATGGCCTTAGATGCTCCACATTTACAATTAGGTAAGGGTTTCAGACACTGCAATTCATCCCACAACTTCTTAAGCCTTGTAAAATACACCATAGTAGAGAGATTTCCTTGTGTTAAACCTGAGATCTCTTGTTTGATTTGATAGAGCAGGGGTCCATTACTCTCTCCAAAACTTGAGATAGATTTTTCCATAATTCTTGTGCGCTATTTGTGTACAAGAAAGCTTCAACAATATCCTTGGAAATTGAGTTCAATATCCAAGATATAACCATACTATCCACTGTTAACCATTTCTCATACAATGATGAATCAGATGCAATCTATGGCATGTGCTATTGATAAACCTAATTTATCTTTGGCTCTTAATGCAATTAACATGGATCTACTTCATGACAAGTAGTTGTTTCCAGTAAGTAGAACACTCACCAGGTTAGAGTTAGGATTATCAGAGTTCATGAGCTATATGTGTCGAGTACTTCTGCTTCTTCTTCTGGCGTCCTTCTGATGAGAAAGTTGTGTGCTAGATCGTCGATCCATATAATTGAATGAAGAACGATCCAATAATTTGCAGGAAATCGAAGGATTGAAGAAGATGATTGCAGATAATCAAGATATCAGTACATCTGGCTCTGATACCATGATCAAATATCATTTATATTGAAGAAAAAGCTTTGACAGTAGCAAAAATGGAGAGAAGTATCGTGTTGTATTATTGTAGAAGAAGATGAAAACAAGTTACATCGTAGCATTTGTTTATATACATTGAAACAAAAATACAGCCAATCTAATTTGATAACCGTCAACCATGTCATCACTGAGATGTGGTCCCTGTTTGTTATAAATAATTGACTGTTATAGTTTGTTGAGGCCCAAATGGGAGAGGCCCGTTTTGTTTTGTGGTCTTCGGATATTGTGCGGCCCAAGTATTAAACATTCAGTTCACATTCTTGTGAATGGGATGTAGGAAACACGGGCAAAGGTATTTTTCTGTTACATGAATTGGAGTTGAAGGATTTTAGTGTTACAAATTGATTTTGAGGGAAGATAACGTGACAATGGTTACAGTTCAGTAAAGATGGATAGAAATAAGCTCAGCTAATTATGATATATAGATCCTATGAGATGCCAAGTTAGTGCTAAAATACCAGCCTCTTGGAAATAAAAAAATTATTTAATTTTAAAAATACTTAATATAAAAAATTATTCAATTTTAGGTATTATTAAAAATTAAAAGTAAAATTTATTATTATTATTATTTAATTTGAAAATTCAAAAAATTATTATTTTATATATTCAGTACTATGAATTTAATCAATAATGGATATGCGCCTTTTAACTATTTTTAATTTTAGTGCAAATTAAATGTGGAGTAATTATTTGCGGAATATTAATTTTCAATCTCAAATTTTTAATTAAATTTAAAATATATATTAATTGTTATTTATAATTAAAATTTCTAAATTTGAAAAAACATTTTATAAATTGTAAATGCTGAAAAGTTAATTTAAGATTTTAAATCAAAATTACAAAAATCAAATTAAATCGAACTAAAAATATAAACCTCGAAACTCTCATGGTAGAAAAAAAAAATTAGAACTTGAATGATTTTTTTTCTAAAATGGTCAAAAAAATTAAAATTTTAATTACAAGAAAATATTACATTAAGATTTTAAAATAATAATTTTTTAATTCTTAATTTTTAATCTTTAAGATTTTTAAGTACATAAAATTAAATAATTTTTTTTATTTTCACTTGAACTAGTGTTTGGTACTGGCTTGACATTTCATAAGCTTACAAACGAGACTTAATTGCCATATTAGCACTAATTTAACGAAATACAGTCGGAGATTAGATCAAATAGAAAAAAATAAGTTCACAATAGTGATTGATAAAATTAAAAAAATTGATTTGAATTAATAAAAGTGTTAACGATGATTTTTTTTTTTTTTTTTTTTTTTTTTTTTTTTTTAAAAAACTTGGATTTGAATAATAAAAGTTGTTAACGATGATTTTTTTTTTTTTTTTTTTTTTTTTTTTTTTTTTTTACCATTCGGTTTTTTTTTTTTTTTTTTTTTTTTACCATTCGGCCCAACATAATATAAAAAATCTTTTAAAAAAATTAAAAATAGATTTCAAATTCATAGGTGACTAAGAAAAATACAAAAAAAGAAATTAAAGAACTACTTATCAAATAAAAATTCCATAGTAATAACATCTGCATATAAAATTAGAAGATGATAATACCACTATAATCCGTAGGTGGGGCATTTATTCACGAATTAAACATGTGAATCGAGTAAGGAACCAATGCAGCCGGTAAGGAATCCACCCACCATCGCAGAAATTTCCAAAGAACAAGCCAAACGGAAAAGGAGAACTTAACTTCCTGTCAACGTATAAATCTTTAACCAGTTACAATGTAGAGGGCTTCTTCATGTCACGTCAGAATTGCCATCGATATTATCAAACACCGACGACCCAAACATACTTTCCTTTCAACGCGTTTTCTGTCCATAGCTTCGTCCAAATTTCCCTACTAACTCACTTCTCACTCGTTAAAGTTGACTCACTGCTGAGTTTGCTGCTCAAAATTTATTCTATAAAGACTCACCATCATCCAGCTGTGTTTACTAAGACTTGTTCAATCTTTTTGTGCTGATAAGAAAAGATAATAATATACATATAACTGCACAAAATGACAGAAGCGCCACATTCAGAAAGAGCCTAAACCACATATTTTCATTATCTAACCAGAATCGTTGGTATAAGCAATGCTCTTATCAAATTTACTGGATTACAGCATCAATGTTACACACACAGACCCACTGGTCAATTTACAACAATCCCCGATAGATTCCCGTCAGATCAAACAAATCCAGCATTTTACTCCTAGCGCCAAAAGTTTCTTCCCTTCAACGTTCTGCTGGGCGAGAAAGGAATCCCACCAACTTCACTGAAGTGATGAGGAAAACCATAACCTGATTATGAGCAAGGAGAGAATAAAATGTATTTGTCCTGGTATTTACACTTAAATGGGTCTTGTTCTCGGTGATGCGCCAGGCGTTTGCGCTTTTAATATAGAGTTTTCAAAACCAGGATCATGAGTATATATTGTGTTTGGTCTTGTAGAATATAATGAGTAGTCACTCAAGTTGTAGCCACTTTGCCCTACCAATGCATACGTTGGGTGTGGCGGCGAAAGGAAACAACTCTTGTGCGCGGGTCCATAATGTCGCAAAGGGCTAGAACAAGGGGACACAGGCAAAGACGTGATCATTCTTACATCATCCCTGCATAGAGTACCATCAAAGTTAATAAAGACTTCAACATTATCAATAAAGCATGAATAGCAGAATGTTGTTACCTTGTGTTCTTCAATGCTCTTGTATTAGTGACTATTTGTTTCATTGCATAATCTCCATCTGACCTATTTGAGTGAAGATCCAACACGGGCTGCTTGGGAAGCATAATTACTACTAGTTAATTGACGTCCAGCTTTAGGTTGAAAAATAAATTGGAGAGCAGAAATTCATTTCCAGAAACAAGATACACACACATACAAGAGTTGTGTTTAAAGTTACAAACTGCCAAATCTTTTGCAGGTTCAACATATGAAAAATACAGTGGCATTTCACATATGAATTTAATTCCCCAATAAAATAACAGACTATCTAATCTATAGACCTTTCTCAAACTGTATCCTTCCGCTTATTAGATGTACATTCTTTGCTTAACTGCAGATATCAACAACACATAAATTGCTTGCAAAAGCCTCAGGACTACAGAAGTGCTGTTACCTTTAGCAAATGGCTAATTAAATAACATGACATATTGACTAGAGGCAAGAAGTTCCCAACATGTACTCCTTAAGTATGTCCTAGTTCGTTCTAATGATAATGTGAAATAAATGCTCTCAATTTTCAATGCATATAATAAAAAGTGGACCTTGTATCTTGCAATTTGGAACACATCTAGCAGTACATTAAGAAAGTCAAAAAATATACCGGTGTACGGCTTCCATCAAAAGTGTATGGAAAAGCATCCCTAGTTATGTTGATGTTAACAACCCTTGTTGTTGCTTGATCCCGGATGAAAGGGTGGTCCAGCAATTGTGAAGCTGTAGGGCGTGCTGATGGATCCCGCTGCAGGCACAACTTTATAAAACTTTTTGCATCGTTTGACAGGTGATCAGGTATATCGGGCATGTCTTTGCTGTTTCCAATTTTAAATATTGCAGCAACCTGTTAAATTCAGCAAAATCAGATGAATTTGGTCTTACAAAAACTTTAAGGCTGACACTGACAATGATTTGAGCTAGTTATTTTTCAAAAGCTCACCCCTTCATACTGACTCCATGGTGGCTTTGAAGTTGCCATTTCAAGAATTGTACATCCCAAGCTCCATATATCTACTGCGAGACTGTAGCCATTTGTATTCATTACAACCTGATACCAGAGAATCCATAAAAGAAATTAGCTGTGGGCACTGAAAACTGAAAAGCTATGAGACGGAAGGGGTGTGTGGTATTTCGGTGGGGAAGGGAGTAAAATAAAGAATTTTTCTTCGAAATTGGGGGATAAAGATTTTGTTATTATTATTAACTGAGTCTGTTTTTATGTTATTTTGTACTGTACAACTACTTTTTTGCGGGATCATTTTCTCGATGAACCTATTTTGAGTCAATTAATATGTGGTAAGGGATGTAAAGCGGATACCTCAGGTGCCATCCAATAAGGACTGCCCTTGAATGAAAGCATTGAAGAGCAAGATGTAATCTGATTCAGAACACAATTTGAAAAAGCTCCAAATCATAAGCCAAAATAGAATAGCAGAATAGAAGTACCGAAAAAAAAAGTTGACAATATTTCTCAGGCAAAAGCAAATTTATTAGGGAAGTCTCGTTCTTTTCTCTCCAATTTGAAGTATAAAAACTGAAATAGTTGTGAATCTCTAGATTGAGATGAAATGTACATGTTTAGCCATGCCAAAGTCCGCCAGCTTGATTTCACCATTAGGATCTACTAATATGTTAGCCCCTTTGATATCCCTGTCATGCAAAAATTGAAAGATATGAAAATTGAAGAAACTCTGATTTCATTTACAATAACTAAGCATCCATAATTAGCAGCAGAGTTCAACTCTTAAATACCTGTGGACAGTATTTCTTCCATGCAAATAGGCAAGCCCAGAAAGGATTTGCCTGGTATAATTTTGAATAACTGGTTCCTTAAAGGCACCATATTCCTGAAGCAGTTTATGAATTGAACCACCAGAGACATACTCTAAATAAACTGAAAGCGTTTCATCACTCTAAGGAGATGGAAAACCAAAAACAGGTATCAAAGCTGGGTCCAATATTTGTAACGAATCACTTGGATTGAACAAAGTGGCTTATTTAACATATAAGGAAGCTAATTCCAATATTTAAATAATATTTGTGCCTTTAGAAAAGTAATCCATACCAGTTCACTTGCATAATAACGCACGATGTTTGAATGTGAAAGCTGACTGAGCAAATTTATCTCCTGTTGATAAGGGAAAAGATTAAATATGCAAGTCAACTCCAAATTATATAAAGCACAAAAAGCGAAATGCGCTATTTTAAAGTCCAATATTCATGGAACAGCATTGAAATTTGCTGCTCATATATGTTTTCAATTTGATACAGTAGGCAAATTACCTGGTTCAGTTGCTTAAGACATTCTTTTGACGTCTGATCATCAGAAACAACTTTGACTTCTTTTATTGCACACATCTGCCCACTCTCACTGTTTTAAGTTGCAATACGACATTCAGAACAGTGCGAAACAGATTAATTGTGTAAATTTATTTGTAATCTTGCATTGTTCTTTTCTTTTTTAAAAAATTTGCTAAAACATTGATTTATAATTAGCACAATTCAAATAATACAAAATAACTGCCTGCTATATGATAATTACAATAACCAAAAATGCACATCATTGTCATCTTCAAAATTTGACAAGATGGAAAATGCATGTGCAATCATAATAATGTTTAAGCAAAATAAAATTTCTAATGCTTAGAACTTAAAATCGTCAGGCTATCTAGTTTACAAACCATTGCATTACCTGTTAAATCCAAGGTAAACATGTCCAAAAGTTCCCCTTCCCAGGAGCTTTCCTTTCTTCCATTTTGACACTGCAACTGCAGTATTTTCAGTTACTACTGGAGTTCTTGTGCCTGGCAAGGAAGGAGGGCTCGTTGGAGAACCAGGTGGAAGAGGCAAAGGATGACATTGACTTTTCCCATCATCTAGCCTTCCCGTTGGAGACTCTAGACTCATACCCCCCAGAAGTGGATGAAGAGGTGAAGCAGACCTGCTGGCCCCTCTTGATGCTGGACCAGGGCTTCTAGATCCCGGACCAGGGCTTCTAGATCCTGGACCAGGGCTTCTTGATCCTGGACCTGGGCTCCTTGACCTTGTATTGAACCTTATATCACCATATCCTCTGTGATCACCAGATGACCTGGGTTTCAATTAGGATTGGTACTTTTCAGAGTCAAAATGAAACTATTATCGTAATAATGCTTTAGACTAACCAATTAGAATCAATTAGCTGGTTTTCCAGCAAGGTATATGACATCTCCAGATGTAGCAAATATAAGAGGAAGAAAGGCCACCGGCATAGACCTTACATTTAACCAGAAAAAGGTATAGGTGCTACGTTTGTAATGAATGAACTCATTTACTTAACATAAGCTCCATTTCCAAACCAGAGCTTTATCCATAGCATCAATAAAGCTGCTTACGGAAAAACAATTAATCAACCTCAATGCCACATAGACTAAATATTTTACTTCTAACTGTTAATTTGCAAATGAAACTGAAATGTAAGAAGACAAGTCCAATAGAACATGGAGTTCCAGAGCTGCAAAGATATTACTAAGTCCAAGAAGCCCAGGAAAGCAAAAAAGAAAAAGAAAAGAAAACAAAAGGAACCCCACATCTCCATCTAACATTTTGATTGGAAAGAGAAGGGGAAAAAAGGGGAAAAATAACCAAGTACAGAGCAAAAATACTCTGACAGGGAAAAAAGAGACAGAGACAAAGCAAATACGGTATAAGACAGAGCAGACAACATAGCCAGCCCAGAAACCCTATTCTGACACAATAAAATATGGGATCAAAACAACATCTCTTTTTCCTCCCTTACAAACCCTAAAACACTTCAACAACACACTAATAGACATAAATTCAAACCATCTCTTCATGCCCAAAATTATCAATTGAGAAATTAGTAGAATTCCATGCAATCATTGATGACCATCACCCCTAACAATTTATTAATAAAAAATGAGAATCAAACCCAAAGCCTTAATTTTTTGATATTCAATAGCAAGACCCAGAACTTAAAAAGAAGTATTATCTACTAAACCAACCTGTAACCACCAAACAGATTACTGTGATGATCATTTGAAATCGGATGATCTTCACCAGAAGACCCAGAAGAGCTAACACTTGAAGTACCAGAAGCCGACCCAGATCCCAACCCGACCCCACCAATCCCATGATCACTTCCATGCCCAGAAGGCGTAGGCAGTGGAAGCCCTCTCTTCTCAATTGAATCCGAATCAAAACCCGAAAACCCAGATGACCCACCAGCAAAATCCTTGCTCCCACGTGGAGAATTCCGGGTCAAAACAACCTCATCAAAACTCTTAGGCTTGTCTTTACTGCTCTTCTTCTTGCTAACATCATTTTTCCCATGTAAGTTATCCTGCTGCTTCTCTTCCTTGTTCTTCGAGGTCTTTTTTCCCCACCAAGCCGGCATCGCTTTAGCCAACAGCAACTGAGACAAACAAAACTGCTACTCCTACAGCTTTCTATCCCTCTCTCAAGAGAGAAAAGTTGGGATTTGTGTTCCGCGTACAGATTTATAAGAGAAGGAAAACGAGAGGAAATGAGAAGAGAAACGGGAAATACCTTTTATTTTTTGTTAAATAAAAAATTATTTTGGAGAGAGAGACAGGGGAGGAAGAAGAAGAGAGAGTGGGACCAGAGTCTACAGTGAAGAACAGCTAAGGAAAGAGGAGAGATTTGGAGGACAGCAGGCGGTGGTTGGATAAAGAGGAGAGCGATGACGTGGCAACTTATTAATTAATTATTTATTTATTTATTTACGTGTGAGTCCACCATTTGTGTTTGTAAATGTGTGCATGTTATTAGTTGTTGTAAAAAGATGGAGAATCTACATGGATTATTGTGCTTTTTATTGTTATTATCAAAATTAAAATAATAATTTAAATTTCAAATTGAAAAAACAAAAAAAAAAAAAAAGAGACAGTACACAGTATCAAGCAAGAGAGCTTATAGTGGAAGCGTGTGGGTTGGTACAATCACCTCTTGTTTTCGGTATTTTTATTTTTCATTAGATATTTAATTGAAAATAATAATAATAACAAATAAACAGATAAGTGATATTTAATTATGATAATAAAATAATAATAATTGGAGTCATTATTTATGATGTCATCTGTACATCTTGCTAACATCAATAGTTTAATTAAAAGATTATAAGTACTTCTCTTTAGTTTATATTCATTCATAAGAGCCTCTTCCTACTTCATTGATTAGGAAAAGGTATGGTTGCTAAGAATAGTAAAATACTAATTGCTGCTAATAATATATAGTTATGCCAAATAAATTCTTAACTTTAATACTCTTTTTATAATTTTGGTTAATTTTTTAAAATTTTACCTATCTTGACCGTTAAAATTGATTATTGTGGGCTCTACATATAACATACAACGACAAATCCACTAACATAGAAAAAAACTCATTTTTCGTTGTCAAATTTTAAAACTCAACATCAATTAGCCTAACCAATTAAAAAAATTGAAATTTTTATTGAGTTGTTGGTGAATTTTTCAACTAGTACTAAGTGTTATTTATGAGGCCTAAATTATTAGTTTTAAGGAGTACATATATCAATTACATTTAAATAACAATTGTATTAAGGCCACACTTAGTAAATTTAAAGTGCAAAATATTGATTTAATAAAATTAAAATAATTTGTTAAAAATTGTAGAAAGTGTTAAAGTTGAAAGATTTTATTTTAATCATTTGTTGTAATAGAATTATCATTTGAAAAAAAATAAAATTAGGATATGGAATATATATTGTTTTATTTTTTTCAAAATTATTTTAGTTTGACACTAAATGTAATAGGTTATCTTTTTAGACATTAGATAAAATTAAAGGGTCAAATTAAACTTTTGTTCAGTTTTCAACTATTTTACATTCGATTGCTAACTACAGAGTTAACTAGCAATATACTCGTGCTATGCATGGTTAAAAAAAAAGTAAAATTAAGTAAAATTAAGAGAATATTGTCACGACCTGTTTCTATGGGTTGGACCAGCACTAGGCCCAAGTAGACTTAAGGCCACTGAGACCCCTAGTAATCCTGGAACATTGTTTATCAATCTACAAATTCAATAGATATATATTCAACTAGACGGTTCAATATAATGATTACAATCCAAACCGTTTTAAAGGCCCCAATTTAAATACAAAATCCATATATAACAAGTGACTTAATAATCCTACAACTGCGAAGTTAATAACAATAGAAATAAATAACTCCTTATACATAATGCTCACAATGTAAATAATTACTAGAATTAGGGAATTACTTTTCTAGCTCTGCGATGAAGGAAATAGAGCTTTAGTTGGGACAAAGAAAAATCTACTTTCTGGAAAAGTTAAACAAAAGAAATGTGAGTTTTATAATGAATAATAATTATGGCATAACATAAGCATTCACACGCAATGCTTTCTAAAATACTAAAATGAACATAAAACCAGCAAGCATATGGCACAACATCAGTACCCACAGACAAGTACACCTTCACATAATCAAACAAGTGGAGATTGGTCTGTGGTGTCACCGAAACTCCTGATGAACTGTCCTCACACATGGCCCATCCTCTCAAATGTGTGCACCAGGGAGCCGATCCCCCATACATGGCCGACCGATCTAATCATCACTTAACCAGCCCTCTCAGTTTTTTTTCCATCCTCTCTTTTTTTCCATTACCAACAAGAGGCCACTCTGTGGTTTATCCATATCAATCATATCATCAGATGTATACGGAAGCGCCGATCTCCCCATACATGACCGACGGTATCGTAGACCTCCTTCACAAACCCAATAGTAATCCACTTCATTCCAATTCCACGCAAACAAGACATATCATCATCACAACACATCTAATCAAGCATTGCATTTAAATGCAAGCACTTTAAATAAACAAACATCCATAACATGGCCGACCGATCTAATCATCAACTTAACCAGCCCTTCTCAGTTTTTTTTTCCCATCCTCTCTTTTTTTCCATTACCAACAAAGAGGCCACTCTTGTGGTTTATTCCATATCAATTCATATCATCAGATGTATACGGAAGGCGCCGATCTCCCCATTACATGACCGACGGGTATCGTAGACCTCCTTTCACAAACCAATAGTAATCCACTTCATTCCAATTCCCACGCAAACAAGACATATGTTCATCAATTTCCACGCAAACAAGACATATCATCATCACAACACATCTAATCAAGCATTGCATTTAAATGCAAGCACTTTAAATAAACAAACATTGTTATACAAATGTTCAAATATACACATATATAAATCAAGTATAAAATAATGAATATTTAATGCTATAAACTAAATAAATAAGTAATAATTAAATAAGTAAGAAATTGTAACATTATATAATAATGTATATATGCACGATGCAAATGATAATATAACATTTATTATAACTCGCGGCAATAAGAAAGGGAATACTATAATCGTAGTTCTGTTTCGCAAAAGCAGAAGACGATCTTGAATAATCTAGATGGAGTAGAATTGAAAGGAAAGAAGAATTAAATAAAGGACTCCTAATAAGAATAAGAAATCATCATTCTAAATAAGTCTAACAACCTATTTATTAAGTATAATTATTCAAGATTCTGCCAAAATTTCAGCAAAATCTCCCCTAAAAATAGGACTTTCTACCTGTTTAGACAATATTAAATATCTAACATTCATTAATCAAACGCAGCCCATCCATCGAGCAATCAAACAACTTAATTCCTATCCTCCTTTCAAATTAAAACAACCATATTAACATCCACCAATTAATTTACAAATTACACCAAGCATGTTCCTTGATATTATTAATTATTCTCTAACTAATTACCCAATAAAATAACAATTACAAATAAAACTTGTATTAATAAGTTAAATTCAACTACTCTTATTTGATAGTTACTTAGCCTCTAATCATTATAAAACTCCTCATCGGGCCTTTACTTCATCATCCTTGCTTAAGGTTTAAACCACATATATTTATGCATTTGTTAAAATTCTAAACTAGCCACTAAGAATCAATGCTAATCTAAATAAAAATTCAATATATATATCTACTAAGTAACTTAATTCACTTTTAAACATAAACCAACTAAGGCTTCATAAATTTCCCATTAAAACTTAAATTTACAACATCATAAAATTCATATCAAAGCAATAGTTCAAGGGAAAAGCTGAAATGGTTGCTGTCATCCAAAGTTTCTAATTTCTTTCTCCAAAATCTGCTATAAACTAAATAATGATTCATATAAGTATGATTTTAGTTTATAGTTCAATTAAAATGATAAAAATCAAGCATATGGCTAACTGGCTACTATCAATCTAATGAATCCTTGACTCTTCATAAAAAAATTTATAATGAAAGCAATAACCTAACCAATTCTATATAGAAATTCAGTTTATAAATCAATTTAAAGAGTAAAATCAAAGCTTCTAATAAATCATTTAAAAGAGTTATAAAATTCAAAGCTTCTTAATATTTACACTTAGAAAGCAATAACCTAACCAATTCTATATAGAAATTCAGTTTATAAATCAATTTAAAGAGTAAAATCAAAGCTTCTAATTATTTACACTTAAATAGTAGCTAATTTAGGGATTTAAACTCTACCCAACTTGATTCATGCATCAAATTCTATACTCTTATTCAAAGAATTCATTAAATGTATCAAAGAAGGTTGAAATCCAACTTACCCAGCTGAAAAATGCACTGAATACTAAATTTTCCCGTTAAACTGACCAAAAGCAGCTCCCTTGCTCAGAAACCATTTTTGTCGACGCTAGCTCGATTAGAAGTGAAGGGAACAATGGCAAAAGAAGCTGCAAATGAGGTCAGATCACAAACGCCGGCTAAGGGCAAGCGTCGCTTGAAAAAATGAAGGAACATGAAACGACCCAAAAAATTATTTTCAAAAATTTATTATTTAAAATTTAATCATAAATTCTAACCAATGAAATTCAGCAGAAAATATTTTATTATTGCTAAACCAGACCTGTAAATCAATTTGAATTTTTCAAAAACCAAGTGAAAAACTCGTAAACCAAGCAAAAATCGAACTAAATCATTGAATTGAGCCAAACCAATTCGAATTGTACCGAAACCAGCCCAAAAAGCTCTAGAAACCAGTCTTTTCTTTTTTTCCTTCTCTTCTTCTTCTTTTCTTCCTCGCCAGTGCCGTCTCTCTCCCTCTCCGTGATTTTTCGGCCACCTTAGCCTATAACTGGCCGACTCCACTTCTTCCTCACTGGCACTACTCTGGCGACCTCCTTCCTATTTCTAGTCAATTTTAACTCAGAAAGGAGAGGAAGGACGATGATGTGCGACAGTTGATTTCTCATCAATCCTTGCTGATTCCGGCAGCTTCAAGTCATGACGTGAGCGCCGGTCGATCCCTCTCCTCCACGCGATTATTTTTCCTTAAATAAGTCCGGCGATGGGGCATGGAGGACAAAACCACCATGAGCGGTGGAGACACAGCAACTTCCAGCCCAATTCTGGCCAAACGAGCAACTGGCTGAGTGAACGAACGGTGGATTACTCCTCATGAAATTTCGAGTTGGGTGGTGGAATTCTTGTAAATTTCTGGGTTGTTTGGAATTTTTCAGCCACCGTAGACGGCGGTGGTCTGGCGACCGGCCGGTGAGGCCCTAAGAG